TACTGCTCCCCACCCAAGTCGCTGTAGTCCAAATTGATCTCTACCACCTCTAAAACTGGATTCGGCCTTACTGTGTGAACCACGTATTCAACATTTATCAGAAAGTCTGTTGCATTTTTGCCTTTCTGTTGATAGGCCTTGCCTCTTCAACTAAACTGCTTATTACTGCAGTATAGTCGTGGCCCTCCAAACCTGGCTGGTCTGAACTAGGCTAGGTAATTACAAAGGTCAGTCAGCGTTGAGAATGACACAAGTGGATACACACCTAAAATATTTTCTTTTAGCGTAAAATCTACTATTAAACATTGACTTAGACATAGGCTGAATTTATTCTTCACATTTTAAAAATATAATCCTTGTCATTTTAGCCCCTAGCATAGTACCGAGATGTGTGGAAACCAAGCCCCATGGTGTCCACAGTGAGAGCCACAGTGACCTACCTTGCTGGAGATCTCCCCTCTCTCTCATGCTGTCAGCCTTGTGCATACCTTACCTTGGTCTAGGTTTGCGCTTAGGCTTAGGAGGAGCTGAGAGGTATTTTTTACCACTGAGAGGTATTTTTTCTTCCTCCCTAAGGTTTTAAATTGTAAAGCTATAGACCAAGGAAAGTATTCAACTCCTGGCCTTGGGAAGGAGGAAATGGCTGGCTCTGTGGCAGGTGGGAATGACTATCCTTACTAGGGAGAAAATGCACACACTGCCCATGAACTTGCTGCTGACTCCTTGGAAAGATGACCCACTCTTCCTCACGCTTCCAGCTCTACCTTCCGATCTTTGTTTGTCACTCTGGTGATTCCTAAGTTGTGTGTGAGGGTGCAAATTGCATGTTTTTCTGACTAAATTATAGGTTCATTTTGTCTGAAATTTTACATCCCATTGAACACAATACTCTAAACCAGGGGTTTTCAACCTTCCTAATGCCGCGACCCTTTAATACAGCTCCTGTGGGTTGCAACCCACAGGTTGAGAACTGCTGCTCTAAACGCTATGTGGGTTCAATGGCTGTAACTGACTGGCTATTAGTTATTGACACCCGAATCAGTAGAAAACACTCTTCACGTCTATCTGCAAGGTAATGAATTAAGTCAAGTTGTTATTTTTTACTATTACCATATGATCTGAACGCCGGATATAAATCGATGCTGTATAGGAGTATTATTTCAAGAGGAGGTTGAGAAAGGGCTGCCTACTTAATTCTGCAGGACGAGGAGTCCATGCTCCACAGCAATGCGGTCTGGAAGACAAGCTGTTCCCTTCCAGGCGTGGCTCTTTCTGCCATCTACAGGGTTGAGTTCTACAATACTTAGAGCAAGCTGGGCACAGTAGTTCACACCTATAATCTTAGCCAAAGAAGGTGGATTGCTTGGACTTAGGAGTTTGAGACTCATCTGAGCAAGAGTGAGACCCGGTCCCTACTAAAAATAGAAAAAGCAGCCGGGCATAGTGGCATATGCCTATAGTCTCAAGCCCAAGAGAGTTTTGAGGTTGCTGTGAGCTATGACACCATGGCACTCTACCCAGGGTGAGAGAGTGAGACTCTTATCTTAAAAATATAAAAACAAAACAAAACAAACAAACAAACAAAAACCTCCAAAAACCCAATACGTAGAGCAAGGCTGGGAACCGCATGCCTGCTTCACCTTGCCTAGAATGCACTTCTGCCCCACTCCTCTACTTCACTTGACCACCTGCTTAACTCTTTCAGGTCTTAGTCTTGAAGTATCCTCCTCTGAGAATCAACAGTGGTTCCCACTGCAAGCTCCCTGGCTCTCTGCACTCAGGCCTTCCGTAGGACTTTGCACCTTTCTCATAGGCCATGATCTGCTTGCGGGCAAAGGCCATGTTACATTCACTCCTCTTTTCCTAGCCCCCAGTACAGTCTTACCCATGGGAGACCCTCACTGTTATAAGTGTTCATCATGTGTATGTGAATTCCCTGAAAGCCTTTTACAATAACTCAATACAAATAATATCAAACAGTGTTGGGATTTCTCCTGCTTCATACCAAGGTATAGTTAACAGACAGCAAGTCATCTTTCCCGTTTTTGTACATAGAAGGGCACTTGCTGAGAAACAATAAGGGGAGACTAGGTGCCCTGAAGACCTTAGGGAAGAAGTCTCCAGGATTTGGCTGATGAGGCTACCAAATCAGGTGTCTTTGGGAAATGCTCACATGTCCTGTGAGTGAGACATGTCCCACAGAGTGAGTGAGAAGGACCTTACCTACCATTTGTTTTGCTTTTTTTGACACTGATATTTCAAATATTAAAGCACTGAGCTATTACCTTATAAAAAGACATGATAAGTCTCAAGGATTTTAAAGGCATGTGACGTGGTTTTGCAAATATAGCCAAATAATAGCTAAAGCAATGTTCTGGAATAAGTTCCTTAATGTGGAAAGAAAGGAAGCACTGTTGTCCAAAATAAAGGGTGAACTAAGACCATTAGATGGTGATTTGCACGACAGTGAGCTCACGAGAGGGAGGAGGGAGACCAGAAGAGGAACAAAGGCAAAAGTGAATCTTGGGTACATTTTTAGAATTCACTGGGTCTTTCCAGAAGAATAAATTGGTGACTTATAAATTTTTCATAAGGAATTTCCTATTTAACAAAGTACGCCATAGTAGTGGTTATGACTTATTTTCTCTTTAGTCTCAGGAAGTGGCTTCGCACCCATTTTTTCTCCTCATCATCAGGGTGGCTCTGGGGTGCGCACTGTACCCCCAACAGGAGAGGTGTCCTGCCTTGTTACTGGCAGGTCAGGCCTTCCAGCACTGTCATCTCCGCCTAGCCAAGCAAGAGGTCCTCTTGGAACTTATCTGACTAGAAAGAACTGAATGTCCTAATTCTAAGTACAAAATAAGAAAAGAAAAACACCTCAACTATTCATGAACCTATAAGGTCTGCCATCTTTTCTTTAGAACATCAAAGCCTGCTGGTGAATTCACATAAAACTGTCAGCAACTTTCTTTCTTTTTTTTTTTTTTTTTTGAGACAGAGCCTCAAGCTGTCCCCCTGGGTAGAGTGCCGTGGCATTACAGCTCACAGCAACCTCCAACTCCTGGGCTCAAGCGAGTCTCCTGCCTCCGCCTCCCAAGTAGCTGGGACCACAGGCGCCCGCCACAACGCCCGGCTATTTTTTGGTTGCAGCCGTCATTGTTGTTTGGCGGGTCCAGGCTGGGGATTCGAACCCGCCACCTTAGGTGTACGTGGCTGGCGCCTTAGCCGGTTGAGCTATAGGCGCCGAGCCAGCAACTTTCTATTATGTTGATAAGGGAAACACTTCCTTTGAGGTCTGGCCAGTCCAGTGACTGATCCCCTACATGGACCAGGCAAGCACCAGAAATGGCATTGTTACAGAATAAAAGATGTGATTCTTGAAGGTGAAAAGGCTGTACCAGGGACAAACCACAGGTGGATTTGAAATTGAATAATTTGGTGAGACAGGACAGACAACAAAAAAAGTCACTACTTACATTAAACAACTTCAACTAAATCCCTTTAAAATTCATTTAAGTGTATTTTCTCCTTACATTCCAGGAATATTAAGATTGCAAGTAGTTAATTTCTCATATTTGGTGTTCATAAGCTTAATTAGATTTTTGATGGGGCAAGGCTAAGTAAAGCTCCAAGTAGGCTTCTAAAGCGTCCCCTCTCTCCTGCCAGGCTAAAGGCGTAGGTGAATTAGATTAATAGATTTATTTATTTGAGACGGGATGTCTCACTCTGTTGCCCAGGAAAACATGCAGAGGCATCATTATAGCTCACAGCATCTCAAAACCCTTGGGCTCAAGTGATCCTCCTGCCTCAGCCTCCCAGAGTAGCTGGGAGAACAGGTGTAAGCCACCATGACACCTGGCCCCTAAAACCTTGAAAGGATCATTTATATCCAAATAATAAGTGGTTATAGACCTCCAGAGAAGACAATTTAAGTTACAGTGGAGTGTTCAATAAGGCCGTCAAATGTGCTTTTGTTCTTGTTTTTGGAGAGTTTGGGTGAAGAACAGAGGAGGAGAAGTTTCTAAGTGTTCTCAAACGCCTACAGAACTCAAACTAGGTCTGACACAATTTGGCCACCCAACTCAGGGGCAGACATTATAAAATAGGAAATAATCCACTTCCCGAGGATTCCTTTCAATGCTGCATGGAGCCAGCTAAGATCTCCCAACAAAGTCTTTCCCGATGGGAGTTTTAGTTCAGGTTTGGGGAATTGGAGGCTCCGAGGTTCCTGCACATTACAGCTGTGGTATGGAGATTGAAGCCATCTATGGCCAGGAATCTGTGTATTTTGCAGCTCTCTGAAGCTACCACAGCATATTCACTCTAGACACCAAGGTCTCTAAAGAAGCCTTCAGGGAATCACATAATTGCCTCTGGCACATTTTGAATTTCCAGTTATACAGGCAAATCTCTCAGAGGAGAGGCTGTGGCAATCAACCAGCAGAGCGACCAAAGTCCCTGGAGTCTCTGGCAACTATTCCTGAGTGTCTCTCAGAAATGTCTAGAAACTACAGTATCAGGAGTGTGGATGCCACCTGCCAACTTCCTACTGCTGGCTGGAGAATAAGTGCCAGGCTGAAAAAGCGATGGGGAATTTGATATTCCTCCACACTGAGCTGCCCATGGGGGCCAGTTGTAACCAGCAGAGAAAGATGCTCAGATTTTTTACTTTTTCAAAAAACCTCAACAAAAAGCTCATAAAAAAGAGTAATATTCTTGAACATCTCTAATGATTAAAGAGACCACCCCTTCAAGATTATTACCTTTAGTCCTCCCGCTTTAATAATAAAAACATCCAGTAATGGGCTTAAAACACAGGCGCAGCTACCTGAGGGAATCATCCCGTTTCCCTTCACTAGTTATCATTTCTTTCTTCTTGGTAGTTATAAGCCTTGTCTCTGTAGACTCTGCTGGATTTAGAGTCCCTATTTGGAGTCTAAGACCTAGTTCTAGACATCGAGCTGTATTGAAGTCAGTAATACGGGGTCTCTTTATTTTACCTTTCTTATCTTCTGCCTTTTCCTCCAGAGGTGGTGTTTTTTCAGATACAGAGCCATTACCTTCTTCAGACTTTACTACATTTTCCTCTCGGGTAGATTCCTCTCCGATGGGTATCATGTGCCCGTTTGAATTTTCAAAGTTAACTGTTACATCTCCATCTAAAAGGGGAAAGAGACACCTAGATGTCTAACTTCATGGCTAAAAACAAACTTTCCAGTTACTAGGATTGTAGGATTTGGTTTCATGTTTCAGTCGCTGGGAAACATCCTTCACTGTGTCACCAAATAACGTACTCAGACAAAAGAGCTAGAAACTCCTTGGTGTTGGCAGAAAGCAGCTAGGAAGGAATATCTGTGTGCCAGTTCAAGAGAGGAGAACGATTATCCTAATTACACAATATCCCCGGGCAGAAGAGTCCCTCTGTTCCAGAGCTTAGGGTTGGCTGAAGTCAACACTTAGGTGTTTCTCATTCAGAAATGGAATGGTAAAAGGAATAATCTGGAAAATGAAGCAAACATTTTTAACAAGCACCAAAAACACGAGGTGAATACAAATACACAAATAACATGAAATGTAATTACATATACAAACAATAGGTGGGAGAATATGAAAATTTCTTCCAGAGTATATTAAATACATAAGATTCAAGGAAAAGACTGTAGCAAGGCTAATTTTATTTTTGTTTTCTTATTTATGGAAAGATTAAAATGCACTCAGGTCATTATGATATAATGAGAATAACAGATATAATCATAATAACAGATTATGGTATAATGAGAATAAGAGATCAAAAATTCTTTATGTTGGCCTAATGATAATTTAAGGTAGAGGGGGAAAAACACAGAAAAAGGTAATCACAGAGGAATTTTAAAAAGTAAGTTGAAAAGAAAATCTTGAATAATTTTTGTTCTTTATTTTTTGGAGACAGAGTCTTACTCTGTCACCCTCAGTAGAGTGCCATGGCATCACAGCTCATGGCAACCTCAAACTTTTGGGCTTAAGTGATTCTCTTGCCTCAGCCTCCCAAGTTGCTGGGTCTATAGGCACCTGCCACAGTGCCCAACTATTGTTTTGTTGTCGTTGTCATTGTTGTTTAGCAGACCCGGGCTGGGTTCGAACCTGCCAGCCCCAGTGTATGTAGATGGCACCCTAAACACTGAGCTAAGAGCACTGAGCTGAAATCTTGAATAATTATCTAAAACACAAATAGTAACTTTAACCCCTCAAACTTTTAGAATTCCTTGGCGTTCCTAAAGTGAAAGAAATTTTACAGAAACTTCCAATTCACTGATACTTGAAAAGATTAATCCTACTTCATTCATATCTGGAAAGATTAAAAGGCATTGCTACCATTGTAAAAGAATAATAAATGAATTCAAGTTTTGACTTTGCAAACTTGAAGAGATGCATGACTAGAGATGTTTCTATGAAATTTTTGATTAATTAATCTTATTTTGACAATCATTATAAAACAGAGACCATTTCCCAAACTTTCATTAAATATAGTCGAACTGCTATGACTCAGCAATAAAACCTATTCATGTTCTTGACATAAAGAGGTATGACATTTTTATAAGTAAAATACATATCATAGAATTATGTCATGGTCTGAATGAAAGAGCAATTTTTGCTTAAACTCTCAATAACCTATAATCTGAGTCCTCTGTAAAACTAAAATAGGCTGGGCACAGTGGCTCATGCCTATAATCCTAGCACTCTGGGAGGATCGTTTGAGGTCAGGAGTTTGAGACCAGCCCGAACAAGAGTGAGACCCCACCTCTATCAAAAATAGCAAAAAATTAGCTGGGTGTCATGGCTCACACCTGAAGTCTCAGCTACATGGGAGGCAGAAGGAGGAGGAACACTTGAGTCCAGGAGATTGAGATTCCAGTGAGCTAGAATCACATCACTGCACTCTACGTAGGGGGCAAAGCAAGACTCTTTTTCAAACAAATAACAACAACAAAACCCCCTTAACTTTACTTAACTTTAAAAAACAATAATTTAGGCAATGCCATAGGAAGCGAATCCTAATTATTTCAATAAAATTAAGGTACTATGTTTTTAAAGGATATATCTCAAAGCAAAAAGAACCCAAAAGATTCTTAATTCCTACTATTGGATCCCAGGAAATTAGCTATAAATAAGGGAAGGGAGGACACAGCACATCCAGATAAAAGAAAAGTAAAGAAAGGAAAATACCAAACAAAATAAAAAAAATCACTTATTTATATAAAATTCCTCAAATTTAACTCAGATATAAATTTATGTTTGTTTTCTTTGACTTTAGTTGGTAATGAAAACATGCCAAGGACATGTGAATTACAATTTAATTCTATTTCAACCATTTTTACATTACAAAATTATTTAGTATATTCCAAAAACACTCTGCTGCTATTAAAGTTATTTAGTAAATTAAATAACTGATTTCTAATAAATTTTAGGACAAAATAGCCGGAGAGAAAATTACATAGTCGTGACCCAAGAAGCAACTAGGTAATATTACAGAGGAAAATAGTCAACAATGAGGAAAGATACTTACTTGGAGGCATGAAATAAAGCTAGTGCATATGAGAACAACTGTAGAGAAAACAGACATGTTTGTGATAAATATGGAATTCAAGAATAAAACAGAGGAGAATTGAAATGATTAACTAGTTGGTGTGTGTATGGAAAAGGTTTTCCCATGTCGTGCACTCAGAAAGTTGTTTTAGAAGTAAAATAAGTTAAATTTTAGCTATAGTGTAGGTAGGTCAGTAGAATACGAGAAAAGATGCTGAGCTAGATGACAGGTGGGGCCAGGCCAACACCACTCGCAAGATTGGTTTGTATGCAAAGGAAAGAAAAAACTCAAGGAAGAGCTGCAAGCTTAAAGTAAAATGAGAAAGAAAGCACAGTCAGAAAGAAGTCGTTAAATCGGGCGTGTAAGTATTTGAAGGAATTGAGCTCTCTCGGTAAACAGGTGTACTGGGGGTATAGTCAAAGGAGGACCCGATATGTAAAGAAAATCACATACCCCTGAAAGGCGACTGACTCATTGGGTTGAATGTATGGGGCAGGAGGAAGAGGCAAAAACACCTCCCTGTCATCATATGAAAGTGAAGGGAAAATGAGGAAGGAAAGAGGCAGAGGTGAAAAGGAACTTTGGACCAGACCACGGACTGCTCAGGAGGTAAGACAAATCGCTGGACTTTTGGATTGAAGGTATGTCTTGGTGTGAAAAAGAGAATCTAAAAGGAGTAATAATAAAAGCTGGGTGTGGAGGTGTGGGCCACGATGGGATGAGTCAAATCCAGGGTAGCTGGAGAGACTTCAAGTCTATCTGTTACTGAATAAAGGGCTTGACGGGCACTGTCAAGAGCAGAGGCATGGAGGGAAAGATCAAGGCAAAGAACGAATCTCATTGGCAGAGGGAGAAGGCTGTCACCCCCAGCAGCTTCCAGTCTCCCAGACCGAAATTTTCAAGACAATCATCTTTGGGAAAGTGACAGAAAACTGTTTTCTCTAGCCCTCAGTTGAAAAGGAGAAGGACTCCATTTCTAATAGGTGTTCCCAGGAACATTCAACTGTTAGGTAATTTATACAGTTCAATGTAGCAACTGCACAAGCGGTGCTAAGTAAAACTCAGTATTTTATGACTTCCTGAACATTAAGCTTATTGCGTTATGTTTAGGTTAAAAATCGTCTTTTTTTTTCTTAAAAGTTTTAGACACTTTTAAGGCTCAACTACAGAAGTTAAATAAGAAGGTCAAAGAGAGTCTGATTTCCGAGGAATAATGTCCGCCCAAGAAATTATAGTCCAGATTGCAAATAATTTAACAGATTATGCAGAATAAAAACCAAGCGATACATTTCTTTATATTGACCATTGCTACTTGACTTTAGAAAAAGTAAACTCTTTTACTACCTACAAATTTTAATTAGGAAAAAAATGGGTCTTTAATCTTTACCTTTGAACCTACTAATAGTTTCAATAGCAAATCTTCCCACCTTTTTCTTTCTTTAAAATATTTCCAAATAAAAGAAGCCAAACAAATGCGTTGGCCCACTCCATAAAACTGATGGGTCAGTGTTCTGCGTTTAGCAGGTATGTAATTTTCCTACTACTTCCAGAGAGATTAGACAGGAAATGAAGTTTGATACTGCAAGCCTATTTTTAAGTTTCAAAAAGTTATGGCCATGCATTTTTTTTTGAAAGTCCCAGACAGGAAACAAAGAACTTCAAGGTAATAGAAAATTAGAAAAGACAAAATTTGTAAACTAGAATGAGCAAAGTCTGACAGGTCAGAGACTGAAGGTCATGCCTAAAATTATGAGGGTTCAAGAAAAACGATGTGATTCACTCTAGAATTTCCTCTTTTCTTTGAAGCAGGAGTAAAATGCTAACTCATTTCTCAGCTCCACTCTGAAATTATTCAGATGCTGGAAAAAGTGTGTCATTTTGATTTATAAATAGTAAATGCCCCCAAACATTAAGTTCTTTGCAAGGGACATCTATCAGAAAGAGAGGTACTCTTCTTTCATTTCCAAATTAACAGTATTTTATTTGTTCCCATAAAAGTAATAATAATACTTGATCCCAGTAAATGTCTGGAGGGGGGAGGCACGAGACACATCAACAGTGCTGCAACCCAATGGCCTCTGGTTTTCATAGCAGTGGGAGCCATAAAAATCATTCAGTATTATTTATTCGGAAAAATAACCAATGTTGATATTTTCTATGGGGGGACAATCTTGGTTTCTAACTATTCCTTATCTTTTCTAATCAGGATTCCTCACTGGAGGATAGAGAAAAAAGGAAAAAAGATTAGAGCAGGAAAAGGAACTTGTGAATGATCATCGTTCGTGAAAAGGTGAGAGGAACTAGATTCAGAGAAATGAAAAGAGAACAGTATTGGAAAAATGATTCGTGAGAATGCAGAAAGCAGATTATTTTGCCCATTTGGCCTTATTGATTGTCCATTTGAGCCAAGTTTGCCATCTCTCTCCTCTCTTCTTTTGCTGGGAGTCTTAAGAAACAAATATAGCACGAATCTAGCTAAAACTTGGCATTTATTCAAGCAATTGAGTCTGATGCAAGTAGAAAGATTGAAGAGCAAGAACAGAGAAGAGAAGGAGTCACACGAGCGTCTGTGTCCCCATCTGTGTCACTAGCCACAGATGTGCCTTTGTAATGTCTGGGGTTTAGATAAATGACATAGGGTGACAGATTCACCAGAAGAGCCACTGGATTTCTCTTCTGTAACACCGCAGATTCCCTGCAGCCCACAAAGGCCTGGGGAATGAAAACAAGGTTCTTGAAGTCCATTAACCTACTCACCGCTTTATCTGACAGAGACCACGATCCTTTTAAATTTCAAAAGAAAATGAAAGAAAGACCAAAGAATGAAGGATCAAATTATTGGAAATGTATGACGAATTTCCTCACCTTGATCAGGCAACTCCTTAAGAACTCCCCTTCTTATCAGCTCCTCTCTACTTTGTCTGGTGGATATCTTCCTTTCTAATACTTTTAAAGAGAACAAGCACAAGTTAAGAATCGAGTCATGGCTTAAAATAATCATGAAACACATTCTAAGCAGAATTGAGCACATTCATTCTGTTCACATGGGGCTCAAACCCCAGGTGTTTTTTCTTTTTTTTTTTCCAGTTGCCTATTAAAATGTCATTGGAGTTGAACTGACATAGCTGGGACAAGGGCAAGTGTCTCCAGCCTGTGATCAAGCCCAGCCGCTGCCCCCAGTCTTCCCAGTGGTGATCTTTGCCCAGGAATCCAGACAAATCCTTCCACAGCAACCATACGTCATTTCTCACTTTGAAATTTCTTTCTTTGGCAAGGATGCATTCTAAAATACAGGACTCTATGGGTACGCAATGTATGTAGAGCGTATGTCTGCGTACATGACATGTCAAATTCAAGAGGGTTCTGCTATATCCACCTGCAAACCCATCATAGAAGGGTGGGGAAAGAAGTTAAGAATTGACAGTTTTCATAAGCATATAAAGAGTTGACAATCTCAAACACTGATTCTTCCCTCTTCTGGAAGAAACCTAAGTTCCTGGTAGAACTTCAGAAGGGGTCTTAGAGGTAGGAGTGAGACCTCAGTGGTATTTGTCTTTTATTTAATTTTTTTTTTTTTTTTTTTTTGGTGTGAGACAGAGTCTGACTTTGTCACCCTGGGTAGAGTGCCATGGCTTCATAGCTCACAGCAACCTCAAATTCTTGGGTTCAAGGTATCCCCTTGCCTCAGCTTCCCAAGTAGCTGGGACTACAGGCACCCACCATTGGTTAGGTTTTCTTATTTTTTAGTAGAGACGGGGTCTCACTCTTGCTCAGACTGGTCTTAAACTCCTGAGCTCAGACAATCCACCTGCCTCGGCCTCCCAGAGTGCTGGGATTACAGGCGTGAGCCACCGCGCCCGGCCAGTATTAACCTTTCATGTGTGTGTTACCTTGTACAGTTCATGAACCCTACATGTCTATGCAACCACCAGCTCCATTCCTTACTCTCAGGGGCCAGGAAGGGATGTAAAATTAACATGTGGGCTTGTCATCTACTAATCCTTTAAGTCAACATTTCCCAAATTATGTTCTGCAGAATTCTATTCCCTCGGAATGCTCTGTTCAAAAAGTGCCTTGACACAGCAAAGGGCCAAGTAAGGAGTCTAGGGCGCCATGCGGAGCAGGAAAGGTGTGCTGGTCAAGGTGAAGAGTGGGCAGATTTCCAACTCCCATAAGACCCCTACTCCTGGCCTTATAATCTGAAAATCCTGGCACTACTCTAGACAACCCCATTTCAACTAAATTAAACCCAAACTAAAGCCACTACCCCAAGCTCTGCCCTGACACCTATGAAGGAAGCTGGTGATAACACTAAGAACAGTACTGCAGGTGGCTTGAGCAAGGACTCTGATGGGGAAGAGGCTGTGCCTTGGACGCCACTTTGGTAACGAGGGCATGAAAGTCTTAGAAAAGTGTTTATTAGTGTTAAGAGCCCCAAATAGCAATATATAGTCTCTCTTGAAGAAATTGGTTTTTCCCCTTTCTTATAACTAGGAATTGTGCATTCCTTTTTAAATCCTGGTTGTTAAAAAAAAAAAAAAGTAAAACTTGACATTGACACAGATTTCATATGACAATTCACAGGTGGAATCTCTGTTTTCTCCTTCTTTACGACTGAACTTGATTTGTATTTCATGTATAGTATATATGCTCTTTAAATTTTCTCAAACATTTTTTAGACAGAATCAGAATATAAACAAACAAGGAAATGAATGAGCAAATGGCTGAATGAAAGGTCCAAAGAATGACAACAAACATCTTATGGTTTTTAATGGAGACATGCACAGAAACTTCTCCTCCCTTCCGTTCGATGACTCACCCACCTCTCTCCTGCCCCTTCCTGAACAAGTAACAGCAGCTTATGGAAAGGTTAATGATTTCAATGGGCAAAGTTAACTTCGCATGGGGGGCGAGGAGTTCTTTTATGTAGAAAAAGAGTGTGGTTATTTAAAAATAGTTTCAATTTGTTCAGACTCTTGCTAAAGAGGAGAGAACCCTTATTAGCACAGGAAGCCAAATAACAACACTCACAATGACAGGTGGAACACTGCTGGGATTCTGCAGGTGGTTTAGAAGAACTGTGACCACCGTTGCCTCCCAAGGACTGTACAAACTCATTAATGCTTGACAGGGTGCTGGGGGCGGGGGGTGGGGTGGGGGACGACAGCAGGATGCTAGACCTCTTGCAACAGTTGTCCTGGCCTCTATTCTTGGGGACAGGCCCAGAGAGTCATAGTTGTTCGGCCCTACGCTTGGGGATGGAGGTGGCAACTGTCAGAGCAAGTGTGGCTGGTCC